TCTTTAAAGTACCCAGACTACACACCTCCTAGTTCTTTCCTCGATTTCCTTTTACTTTCCTCTTGTCCCACTATCATGCTCAGCCTTCATTTGGGTTTCAGTAATTTTTCTCAGTTTCATTGCCCTTGATCATTCCTTACCAGGCCTCTGACACCCTCTTTGCCATTAATTTTGGATCACTTGTTCCCCTGTCCCTGGGTTGGTCAATACCACCTCCTTTCTCCCATCTCCCCCTCTCCCATGTTCCCCTGGAACCATGGGTCCCATTGTTTTCTCCTCCAGACTGTTCATCCAGCCTATCTTATCTAGATAGACCTGCAGAGATAATAACATGCACAAAAAAACAAGGCATAGTAAGGCAAAGCGACAAAAGAAAACACAACAATGACAAAAACAAAGAAAAGTACAGTCCAATCGTTCAGTAATGCATTAATCCATTCAACAAATATTTATTGATTGAAGCATCCTTACCAACACCCTGTATATATTACTTTTTAAAAAATGAACGCTTTCTACACACTCTACCCTAAGGGGTCTATCTACCATATATTAGGGGTCTATCTCCCATATACTGGTATGGAGGATAAATGTTTAATAATATAACCAAATCAACTGCCTATGTCCAAAGTAGAAAGGGCTTCACATTTTGATGTTGTTTAGTAAAAGTTTCTACGGTTTTTGTGAGGAGCTCTGGTGGTGTAGTGGTTATGCATCAGCAGTTCAAGACCGCCAGCCGCTCCATGGAAGAACGCCAGAGCTTTCTAATCCCATAAAGAATGAGTCTTGTAGGCTCTCCCATGCTGATTGCAGCACAGTTCATAATAGCAAGAAACTGGAAGCAGGCCAAATACCCAACAGGGTAAGAATGGATAATGAAACTATGGTACGTACATAGGTGGTTTCTCTCGTGGGTAATGCCTCGGTTCTTGGCTTCACATGAGAAAGAATTCACGCCGAAGCCTGTTCTGTAATCCAAGAGAGTTTTTATGAAGGTCGGGAGAAGTTTCAGGTTTTACAGGCTCAAAAGAGTACACGCTATTTCAGGGAAGTGTGCCAAACTGCGCAGTAGCCACACGGAAGTTCACAACTAAACACGAGCAACCTCGTGGTACAGCGCACCCACACGTGCAGAACCGAGGCCAGAGAAGCGGCACAGCACCAGCGGCACAGGAGCAGGGCCAAAAGAGCCCAGCCTTCCCAGGCCAGGTTAATTCTGGCTGGGGAGGCGTGGTTGAGGGTATTGGTTGACCCCATTGGCTGTATTAAGCCCACCTGGGTGATGTGCTGGGCCTGGGCCTAGTTTGGGCCGATCAAGTGTACCGCCCACCTGGCTCGGGGGCCTGAATTGGAGCATGCCCAGTTCAGGGGTCTTCATAGGTGTTTAATGATCCCCTGATTCCCTTCCAACCTCCTCTAGGGGCCTTCCCAGGCATGGGAGGGACAACCCCCTGTCTCTAGCTACCTAACACATACACTGTGTTAGGCCGGGTTGACTAGATAACTAAATTCACTGACACTCATATATGTGTAAGACAGAACTTTATATCAAGAAGTAATTATGCAACAATAAAACGTCCCAGCCCAGTTCAGATCATGGCCACAAGTTCGAGATTGGTCCATGAATTCCTCTTCAGACTCACTCTCCGTGGGGGCGGGTTGGGGGTGGGGTGGGGGGTGAGGAGAGAGGAGAGAGAGAGAGACCTTACTTTTCTGATGGCAGAATCCAGAGACAGGAAGTTCCCAAAATCCTCATGAGAAGGCCGCCCCCACAATGGGGAACAGGGTAGACTCCACCCCTTCATTTTTTTATCAAGTTGACATGAAATTATGTAACTAACATATACACAACGGAATACTATACATTCCTAAAAAATAGCGGTGAAAGCATGAAACACCGTATGACATGAAGGACCATTATGCTGAGTGAAGTTAGTCGATCACAAAAGGACAAATATTGTGTGAGCCCACTACTATAAGGAGAAACACCAACCAATCAAATCTTAGAGACTCCTAAAGAATAATGTAGAAAGGCTACCTCCTGGCCACGGACCATACAGCACCACCCTTATGTGCACTTCATCAGAATCATCCTGAAAGAGGAGACCTCACATGGGCTGAGGTCACTCCTTCGAGAAGGGGGGAAAGGGAGATGACCATCCCCTTGATGCTGTGCGACACTGAGACACGGCTGTGACAGACCACCCGCCCTCCACGCAATGAGAGGAGAGCCTTACTGGAGAAGCAAGTTCAGGCCAGGGGCGGGGAGCAGCTACATTTCAGAGGAAGCACTGATGTTTCTGTTGGTGAGTCTGGTGAGTAAATGGGGAGGAGCAACCTCACATTGGGAAGAGATGCTGAACAACAATAATTTCAGGGACCCTAAGGGGAGAATAAACCCGATTTTATGTTCCTGGGTAGACACTATGAATATATTTCTACCTAACCCTCGGTGGATCACACCATGGATTCAGCAATATGACCTTAGACACTAACCATACAGGTAACATAGCATTCATTCCCCAAGGGCTACATAGGACTCAATGTGGAAACCCCACTGAGCTAACTTGTCCCTACCTCGAAACTATCTGTACCCTTGGATTTAGAACTGAAATACTCTGATGGGAGAGGAAGCAAAGGGTGGCCACCCCAAGGCTGTGGGTGGGACTCCTGGCTTAGTGGGTATCTAATGAAAGGTGACCCATAATCACCATATATTTAGTACCTCAATGCTCCCTTTGCATTAATGTGACAGGTAATCATCTGATAGGGATGTGCACTGTAAGAAATGATACAGGAAATTTTCCCCTAGCACCAATCCTCATGCTCAGTGTAAACAGAGCTCGAACAATTAAGAAATCAATCTGCTTAAAGCAGTAACTCATGGATTGCAGTTTGTAGTTGGACTATAGTTATATAAACTCCTCATATCAATAGTATCTTAAATTGTTACTGGATAAATTATTGATATCAACATAATCGTCTTAGACCCCAGGAGGATTGAGCTTTTCTATTTCGTTTCTATGACGTTTTTCTGCCTTTGTTGGTGGCTTTTGTTTTTGTCTTATCACCGCCAAAGTAAACCAGTCATTCCTAATCCATTGACACGCAGGTGGACTGAGTTCCCACTTAATTCTAGCCCCAACCCCCAAACAGTTCTTAAACATGGCCCTGCTTGATACTGGCCTTCATGAAGAGATCACTGAAGATACGGGTGCTATGGCAAAGGGTAGTTAAGAAAGCAGATGGTGCCCAGCCATCAATTGGAATAGTGGCTGGGGTCTTCAAGGCTTGTATTCAAACAAGCAGCCATCTAAGTGAGGAGTCAACTAAGTCCACATGGAAGAAGCACACCAACCTGGGTGATCCAACGATGACAAATCCAGATATGAGGAAGGGAAAGTATCAGAGCTTAAACTGTGAACACCCAATTTGTAGGAGGCAATGGAGGACAGTGGGAGCCCCAAAGACCATCTGCAGGGTATCTAGTCAGAATAAGCCCCTGGCAGAGCTCTATCACAGGCGAGGGATTTCAAAAGCTTTATTATCAGACAGATTATTGTAAACTTGGTTATGGTGGATCGAACCATGGCTTAATATACTTGGTCAGTTTATCTCCCTCCTGACCCAAATCTAAAATTTGCTCTATAGGCTATTATTTTTCTTGTTCCATGACAGAAACTTCTCTGGCTTTTTAAATATTGGTGGTCTCTGCTAATTTTTGTATTATTTTCTTCTTGCTGTTTTTCGTTTCTATTGGGTTTCCCAATTGGCAAAGCACAGGCACGGATGCAGACACTAACTCACGCAATGGTCTACAGGGACGTGGGGCAGTGGAGAGGGGGCGATTTGGGGAGCAAACAACTTTTTCAAAGCAATTTAAATATTGGCGTAGAATCTGTGAATGTATCATGAAAACCACTAAAAAAAAAAAAGAAGAAACCAAACCGGATCGATGGTTCCCATGGGTGGAGGAGTTGTTTATGCTTAGGGGGGGGTATTGAGTTTATGTTAATGGTGGGAGCATGATTAAAAAAAAAGTCTATCAACAATGGTTGTACAACACAAAGAATATAACCAAGGACACTAAATTATACATGTAAAAGTTGAAGAATATGTGTGTTTTTGCCACAATTAAAAAAAAATTACGAGTACAAGAGCAAAATGTTCTAGGATTGCGATTGTATAATTTTTTCTAAATTTTTCTTGATATAATTGAACTATTTGTATGACATGTGAAGTCTTGGCAACTGAGGGAGTTTTTTTTACTGATAACCTCCCTAGCTAGATTGATGGAGAACAAAAATGTCTTATATAGAATAAAAAGGTGGTTATCGTGACAGATCCTACAGACATTAAAAGGATAAGGGATTCCTTTGAGTAATCTGATAACTAAGAAAAAAGGCTTGTAATGACTGAATTGTCTCCCCAAACATGTGTCAAAACTTGTCTGGTCCATGATTCGCAGAGATTTGGCAGTTATATGATGATGTAATTGGGTAGTTATGTGATGATGCGATCATGCTCATGATGTGGTCAATTCATCAGTTCTAAGGAGAGTAGGTTGGGATACAACATCCTTACTCAGGTCACAGCCCTGCCTACATCACCTTCGAACTTACAAGAGATAAAAGGAGAAGCAAGCAGAGGGACTTCATTACCACTAGACTGGGGAGCAAAGTACGTATTTTGGATCGAGTCCCTGAACTGAGACTCTCCTAGACCAGAGGAAGATTAATGCCCACACACACAGACCTCCAAGACTTGCCAGACAACATGTGAACAGACAAGGACCTTTCCCTAGAACCTAGATAAGAAGAAAGCCTCCTCTACACGTGGTGCTCTGAATTTGGACTTTTAGTCTCCTAACCATGGAAGAATATATTTGTTTGTTACAGCCATTTACTTGTGGTATTTTTATTTTAGCAGCACTAGATAACCAAGACAAGGAGCAATGTCTTAAAAAAAAATCAAAGCTTGTTTAATGATAGAAGAAACAAAAATTATGGATATAAAGTATTATTTATTGAATTGAATGTATTATCAAAACATTTTCCACAAAGAAAGCTTCAGATCCCAATGGTCTCACAGATCGAGTCTATAAATGTAATAAAGAAAAAGGATAACTAAAATTGATTAAAAGTTAACTTTTAATATCAACAGAAAAAATGTCCAAGAGTCAGCATTATGCAGGTATAAAGTGCTACACATGACAAGAAATAGGAATTCAACTCTGATGAAATTCATTTCTTCTTTCCTTTCAAAGGCTTGGCAAATAAAGCTGGGTCAATCTGCTCCCTCGCCAGTCCCCTGACAGAGAAGAGCCTTGCAGCCCGTTCCTGCAAAGTGCCCCCGCATTTCAGTCCCAGAGCCGTAAGTTCAGACTTGAGCTGATCCAAACCTAGCAACTCGAATTCCGCAACAGAGTCGAATGCCAGTAAATCTACAGCGCGCTGCCCAATACCCTGAGGGGGACAAAGAAAATAATTAGCACGTACTTTTCCAACGAAGGTGGCATTTAGTACCATTGAATCAGTTCCGATTCACATAAAAGGAAACACTGCCTGGTCCTGCCACCATCTTCACAATCACTGCTCTGTGAGCCCCTTATCGCAGTCACTGCGTCAATCCACCTTGCAGGCTTTAGCTGCTAGCTATATTCTACCTTTAAAGGACTTTAAAAATGTGTCATCTCTTACACCTCATGCCTTCTCAATATATATAAGTAAACACTAACCTTTCATCTACAGAGTACGTCAAAAAGTACTGCCACAAAATCACAGACCTCTTTATTAACTCAAATGTCAAAATGTGAAGCTATGGTTTCTCGGTACATCCTTCAGTAAGGTCTGGACCTTCGGAAGATGCTTTCAGTGCTCTAATTCTTCCCAAATAATTTTGTGCTCTTTGTCAGAATGGGAGTCTGAGCATCCTAAAGGGACTCAAATCATGTTTCTTTGAATGGGAACAAAAAGAAGTCTGAAGGGGCAATAGCAGGACTGCAGAATGGATGGGGAAGGTTCCCTAACAAAATTTTTATGAGACAGCGATTGTCATGACAGGAAAAAAAAATTCTTGGCTCAAGTTTCCTGGCCTTTTTCTCACCAATGAAGCTTGCCATTTTCTCGAAACTTTCCCATAATATACCACCATCATCATCATCCCATGTCTTTTTGAAAAAAAAAATCTATCAAGATTACAAACACAAAAAAATCTACCAAGGTGACTCCCTTGGTACCCTAAAAACAGTAACCTTAAGCTAGGCTGACCTCTGCCTTGAATTTAACTGGTCCTCTTGAAAGCCACTGTTTGAACGGACTTTGGGAAAGCACCCTAATGAGACCATGACAAGTGTTTAGAAAAGTCCCATGCATATATGAATTGGAACCCAAGTAGCCATACTTTTTGACTTACCCTAATATATGAACAGACTGTAGAGAAGGTTCTTTAAATTACATAACACATTTAGAACTTCAGAAATGGTATGAAGAAAACCCAAGTCTCAAGCCTCCCTAAGTAAGGCAACCCTCTTCATTCCTGTTTTTGCACTAGAGGCAGAGAAGGTCGGAGTTAAATGATAGGCTTTCTGTTCAAAAGACATCAAGTAATTCAGGTTTTATCTATGCTGAAAAGCAATTTATGTGCTGCTAACCACTGCTCAAATTGCATCTCACTGGCACTAGGTTTACAAAACAATGTCAATTAGCTATCACGTGACATTGAAGCACACCCAATTCTAGACACTGATATGTGAAAACACGTGTCTTGAAATGGATGAACTTCGGAACCAAAGGCACTAGCAGCTACTGGCAAAACAGTAAGATTTGGAGCTAATAAAATATTTTAAAATCTAAGGATGGGGGAGGGGCGTGGACAAGCTGCCCATCATCTGTACTCCTTAAAGCCGGTCCACTAACCAGCTGATGGGAAAAAGCACATTTTCATTTGAATGACTTAATGGCTCTACACACCTACTGCAGAGCGACTTACTGTGTGTCCTGGCTGGCCTTCCTCTAGCCTGGCACAAGGAAGGCCTTCATTTTTGTGCCCAGATGCTACCACGGCAGCTCTTTCTCCATCAGTCCTTTCTTCTGTCTTTGCCTCTTCGGGCAGTCTCACCCCAGCTGCTTCCTTCTCTCTGGGTTCTTCACTCTCGGCCTCCTCGTCCCCCTGGATCACCGTGGTGTGCCCAGCCACCTTCCTTTTGGCCTGCTCCTCTGGAGAGGTTTCCCCCAGTGTAGCACATGAATCTCCAGATGTATCTTCGTAGTCCCCCTGGATCACCGTGGTGTGCCCAGCCACCTTCCTTTTGGCCTGCTCCTCTGGAGAGGTTTCCCCCAGTGTAGCACATGAATCTCCAGATGTATCTTCCTCAGAGTCACTGATGGAGTTTTTCTGCAGTTGTTCTAGTGATCCAGGGTCTAGACTCAATACTCCAGGTCTCTGACAACCGCTGGGGAATTCGGCTGCCACCACACCACCACCACGGCCAATCTGGGGAGCCTGACAGCTCATTCCTGAAGTACCAGGTGCTCCATCACCGTCATCATCTGAGCTCTCAGAACTGGCACCCTCTACATTCTCTAGTCCGTCCACGCCCAACCTGACAGAAACAACAGAGAGGTTTAACACCATGTTCAGGGTCTACTGAAGAAAGAGCTACAGTTTGTCCAGGAAACGCACTGACTAAAAGTATCTGCTAGCTTGAGATGGAAAAGCTTGAAAAAATATATTCCAGAGATATACACAAAGGTTTAAAAAAACAACAACCAGGGAGACAAATCAACCATCCCAAACACCCAAGAAGGATCTTTTTTTTAAAGTTATGACTAAATTTACTAAACTGATTTTACTTAAAAAAAAAATTCACTGCCAACAAAGTCAATTCTGACTCAGAGACCCTATAGGACAGCGTAGAACCCCTCCTGAGAGGTTCCAAGACTGTAACTGTTTACAGGAGAAGGAAGCCCCTTCTTTACTCTGTGGAGCGACGGGTGGTTTTGAACTGCTGACTACTAAGACATCTATACCAGTGTTCCCAAAGTGAGCAATCCGGCCCTGCTGGAGGTCTCTGGAACAATCCAGGGGGGGTTGCAAAGGCAGACACCCACATTTTATCCCAGATAGTGGGCTATAGAACAAATTTTTAATTGCAAAGGGAATGCTGAATAGTGTGTGTGTGTGTGTGTGTGTGTGTGTGTCCCCGCTGAAAAGAGGTGGTAGACATAATTAGCTTGGGAACCTATGATCTACACATGCAAAAATACTTGGTAAAAAAGAATAAGCTACTAAAAGCTCTATGACATTCTGGCAAATACTGAGCTACAGGAACAAAAATCACATTAGTAATCTGTGGTGATTAGGAGATGGGGGTGGTCTGATTGGCCAAGGGACTTAAGGAAATATTCTGTATTTTGAGTGTGTGCTAGTCACATGACTATATGATACATTTTCAAAATTCACAGAACTGTTCAACCAAAGAGGACACATTTTATTGTAAACCTCAGTATTTAAATAAACCTGGCCTAAAAACAAAAGCTGAAAATACCATTATCTTATCTCTCAAGAAAACTTAACTTCCATTTCAGAAAGAACAAACAAAATTCTATGCTGGACATACAGAGTAACAGAGTCTTTGGTCAATAATTACGTTCCCAACAAGCAAACAAGCTCTAATTGCACTTGTCACTTTTCTAGAACCTGGCGCAGAGAACTGAGCTGGCTACCAGAAGACCACTCTGGAAGGAGAGGAAAACTAGCAGAACGGGTAAGACAAAGCATGGTCTGCTATGCTCATCATTCACAAGTGCTAAGTGCTACAGCCACCAGAGAACAGACCGGTAAAGAGAGTTCTGGCAAAATGACCCAAGACTCAATGACTTCACCCTGCAGAAAGACCAGAGAAGACCCTGCACAGCCAACCTCATCCCGGTCCCCACCTGCAGTCCTTGAAAGTTGGCTCAACACCAAAAAGGAACTCATGGAGGCAATTCACTAGCCTGGCCTCTTTCACCTGAAGGGGGAGGCATTCCTTCTACCTTTACATATGAATGGCAATGTACAGTTTGATCATCCCTGAGACCGGAAGACTACAACCCCCGGAACACTTCTGAGTTCCCATTAAAAGCTACTTAAAATTGGGTTTGTAGCACAGATAGACAAGAAGGAAATAACTCATTATCAGTCCTCTGATGTCAATTAGGGTGACAATGAAACACACTTACCAAAAGCATTTTTTTTTCTGTGCACTGGCTTCCCTGCTTGTTGTGGATTTGTTAGGCCGTTTCCGCTTCTCACAGATTTCAGCTGATACCATCTTGCTGGAGGCAGCCTGCATACCTAACAAAAATTTAATTTTAATAACTCAGTTTCTATTCTCAGGACTAAATTTAAGAAAACCACTAAACAATACAGATAGCAAAACAGAGCTGCAAAGGAATAAAATAGCTCTAGATATTAATGTATCAAAATACAAGATAGATCTCTATGCATACAGATTTAAAGTATTCTTTTTTTGTTGTTGTTATTGTCATTCAGAATATATCTAGCACAACTTATACCAATTCAACCATTTCTACTAGGGCTCTAGGTCATATATGCATGTGTTTCCCAAATTCTGTCAGTAATAAATTATATGTGTCAGTCTTGTTAGACTGTCTTAAAAAAAATAAGTTCCAATCAAAAAGTGGCTTTCGTAGCATAGCGTACACAGATTGACTTCATCTTTGAGTGATTGTGTCAAATAAAGTCCTGCATTAAAAAGAAAAAGAAAAAAAAAAGTCCTGCATTTACTTAAGTTTTTATCAATTCCATAAACAGATATAATATTTTGCTCAGCAGCATTCCAAGAACAAAAAGGATATGATTCAGACAAAATACAATCACAGAACAATTTGTTTCTCTTTATACTTCACACCTATCACTAAAAATAATGTAATATAGCCATTTTTAAACGCTATGTTCCTATATCTGTAGGCTTCTGTATCTATCCAAGATATAATATAGTAGTAGTCCCAATCCTTGTTAAATCACTCTTACACCTTCTTAATGCAATCCCATTGTTGTGGAGTCCAATTGTAATTCATAAAGGCCTTAATTTTTTTTAAAAAAGAGGCTTTCAAGAGGATCTACTGGGCCAGGTTAAGGCAGGTAGGTCAGCTTAAAAGACTATAGCAACTGTTTTGGTGGATTCCAAAAGAGTAAACTTGACACATGTTCCTGAAGGGCACAGGGATTAGGAAAACATTTAACTAAATGAGAATCTCTCCCATCCACCCTAGACCTCTGATCTTACCCCTTCACACTTCCTAAAGCTCAAAAGAACATTTAAAAGGAAAATGATTTATCAAATTCAAGGGTGCTAAAACTGTCATTTGAGGATGGAGCAAACTGAAGAGCGCCTAATTCTTTGGGGATGGGTTAGAAAGAGAAACATGCCTTCAGAAGTGTACAGACCTGGATGGAGGATATGTCAAGAACAGTAGCTTCAAATTTACTATTTGAGTTCGTGAGGATTTCTATGATTTTACAGGAACACCTTTCACTTCTGCTTCCATAACTTAGTGACACTGATTACATTCTTTCTGTTGTATAACAATTCCCACCCTCCTTTTCTGAGTTGCACCTCTCTCATTAAATAAACTCATTGCCACTTAAGGTTTCTACCTATTTCTTCCAGTTGCTGTTGTCGATTTGATTTCATATTCTTAAATGAATAATGCTCAAGGCAGACCCTTTACAAACAAAGAAACCAACAAAAACTAGTTAAGCTAACGAACTACTCAGATTTAGATGACTTCAAGGGATATTTTTAAGGTTTAAAGATTAACTCAGGGTTGGGAACCGATTACAAGGATCTACATATAACCCCGTCTCTAGGGGACAGACAAAAGAAAAGTGGGTGAAGGGAGACATCGGACAGTATAAGACACAAAAAAATAATAATAACTTATAATTATCAAAGCTTCATGGGGGGAGGCAGGGAGAGAAGGGAAAAAATGAGGAGCTGATACCAAGGGGTCAAGCAGAAAGCAAATGTTTTGAGGATGATGATGGCAACAAATGTACAAATGTGCTTGACACAACGGATGTGTGTATGGATTTTGGTAAGAGTTGTACAAGCCCCCAATAAAATGATTAAAAAAAAAAAAAAAAGAACTCAGGGCAAGTTTTGTGGATTCCTCTACCTCTCGTAGATTCAGAAAGTCTGGAATCCATGAGAATTTGGGATTCTGTTCTGCATTTCCCCATTTTGATCAGGATTCTTCTATAGAATTTTTTAAAATCATTTTATTGGGGGCTCATACAACTCAACACAATCCATACATACATCAATTTTATAAAACATTTATACTTTCGTTACTCTATCATTCTCAAAACATTTGCTCGCCACATAAGCCCCTGGCATCAGCTCATTTCCCCCCCTCCCTCCTCGTTCCCCCCTCCCTCATGAACCCTTGATAATTCATAAACTATTATTTTGTCATATTTTACACTGTCCGACATCTCCCTTCACCCACTTTTCTGTTGTCTGCCCCCCAGGCTTCTATAGAATCTTTTATCAAAATGTTCAGTAACAGTAGTTGAGCACCACACAGCTCTTTTAATCCCCTAACAAAGGAGGTGATTATTTGTGGAAAAAATTAGTCACACATTCCCAAACCTCCTCTATTTTAGCATCCTTGATGAACTCAAATTGTGTTCCTTTCCATCTTCTTTGCGTCGTAGGAACAAATATCAGGGGTGTAAGAAAATATCTGTAGAGTAGCCTTGTTACTCACAAAGAATGAATAGGCACACTGTAGTGGTGAAAACTAATCCCTTCCTTGGAATACGATTCCTGGCCTTCCCCTCATCAATGCAGTTTTTTTAAAATTTCTTCAAAATAAGCCCTCATGATTGTCCTGTGTCCTTGGAGAAAATCTGTAAGATGACTGTCACTCTAATGTTCTGAGCTAACCTCTCCAGAGAGGATCAGACAGATCCTCTCTGAAACTACTGTTCTGATTGGATTTAAGATACCCTAATAAGACTGAGACGGTGTGTTGAGGGAACTAGTCTGCAGCCATGCACTTCTCATAGAAATATCCTAACATATCTTGTTTGGAATAAACCCGTGCATGTATGACCTGGGATACCTTTTGCCTTACCTAGTCTAACTAGGAGTGGAAGTGCTGGGTCATACAGTATTTCGAGTTTGAGTTGTTTGTTTTTTTTAGTTTCATGAGAAACCACCCAATTGTTTTTGGAAATGGCTGTACTATTTTGTGTTCCCAACAGCAATGGAGAAGGTGTCCAATTTCCCCTTTATCTTCTCCAACATTTGCTATTTTGGTAGTTTTGTTGTTTTTCCATCTTAGCCATCCTAGTGGTCGAAATCAGACTTTAAAAGCAGAAGACATTATAGCACTAATGTTCAATCTGTAATGGTGAGGCTGACAGATTCATTACAGAGCCTTCACCAAATGAATTCATTATCTGTGCTAGTCATTTGCATATATTTATTGTTTCTGTTATATCATAATCTTTTGATGGAAACGATTCCTTCTCAATTATACCCACTATACCCTAGCACAAAGCACTGGAAACTAAAAAAAAAAAAAAAAAAGAAGTTAGTGTGCATCGTTCTCATTAAAAACCACTAAAATAAGGCCCTAAAAGTGGAAGCAAATACACGGGCTGCTCAGGCCCACAGAATACAGAGGTTATGAATGCCAAGTGCTCTGTGGGTCTAGAGTGCCTGTATGAGGACAGGATCCACAGGGTTCACCTGATTCAAAGACCTCAACCATGTCTATAACCCATGCAAACTGTGCTCCTGGGTGCAGTGCAGAAGGGCCTCAGAGGTGTCCAACTTCCACTGTCCGTAAGTCCATTCTGACTCATAGTGGCCTTATAGGATAGGGTAGCACCATCCCAGTGGGTTTCCACGACTAACTTCACAGGAGTAGAAACCCCATCTTTCTCCCACAGACCAACTGGTGGTTTCACACTGGGGGTCTTACAATTAGCAGTCCAATGTAGAACCATTATGTCACCAGGGCTTCCCTCAACACTAAGGAACCCTTATTCTCACCTTTGAGGACAGAATCCTCCAGGCGCTCGGCCATCTCATGGCACTGCTGTTGGTAGTCAGGGCTGGAGAAGCAGTGCTTGGGTTCCACAAGCTTCCGCTGCAGGCGCTCCAGACGTCTCTGCTCTTTCTCAGCCTCTCGCTCAGCCTGTTGTTTTACCCACTCAGCCATTCTAGGGGTGGGGGAAAGAGGTATAACCAAAGAGACATAGATTTATACACTTATAACATCCAGCCCCATTCGAATCGGTGCACTTTTGCTTATATAGTGGTGGTTCTCAGAAATGTAATGCATGCCATATTACTGGCATGTTGTACGAGAATTAATGGAAATCCAAAGATAATTATTAAATTATGGAAAAGATTAAATCCAATAATAATAAATTAAGAGGATGAATATTTAACACTTACACTTCAGATATGGATATCATGTGTATGATTACTATGGATAGAAAACTTACTGTAAAAAAACTTCTAAAGGAGTGATCTTACGCTTTTTCATGATTGACATCCCGTAGTCGCCTTCCACTGAGATCCCGGCAAGCTTCTCGATTGGTTGTCTTCTCAATCTGAGCACCAAGTGCTCGGAGCATAGAACCAAAACCTGGGCAAATACATTTAAAGACTACCATCCATGACGTGTTCACAGGCGGGTAAAAGCTAAATTTGTGAAAACAGTACTATAGCACACGAGTAAAGGTAAATTCTCTCCCGTGTACTTTTAAAAAAAGGAGGTGGGGTTCAAGGCTCTAATGCAGGAAACCAAGATAAAAGGACTGATAAACTTGGTTCAAATCTAATGTCTTTTATCCTTCATTTTATCTTTCTTGAATACTATAACTGGAAAGATGGATTCTCATAGCCAAAGATACCAGGATTCCCATTAAGAACTTGAAAAACGATAAGATTTTTACAATAAGTTAAAAGGAAAGGCAATTTTCAAGCCGTCACTGGCTGATATAACATGCTTCCTTTTTACTGATAATTTCAAAGAGCAGGACAATTACATTCTGAGATGTCAGCTTTCTGAAAACCCAATAAATCACCGCAGATCTGGAAAGCTTGGGGGGGGGTAGGGTGCAGGGGTGTGTGTGTGATCTACTGCCTATGAAGAAATCAAAGGAAATGTTCATATTCTAGTTTTAAGCTTTGGTTTCTTTCCTCTTTTAGATGCACGCAATAGGACCTTAATCTGCCCCAACCTAAAAATTATTCTATTTCCTGGGTGACTTTAGACCATCTTTGGAACATAATAACTAAACAACATCTTCAGTACTGTTATAAACTCTCCCTTCATCAAACTGGAGAAAATAATGCCAGCTCTCATGTAAGCTTCCCCTAAGGTTTAGAGCCTGGGTTACCTAGGAACTATGTGCCTAGAGAGCATGCAAACTGTCTCGTATAGTAGCACCTCCTCATGAACTGAGTAAGTAAAGGGTTTCACCGGGCAAATCAGGTCGGCATACTACCGAGACAAAGGGGCTAGTTAAATACCTATGGTGAAAAAACAAAACAAAAAACAACCTATGGTGAAAGTTTACAGATGTGTTATAACTAAGCAGTCTGGATTCTTTCCTACCTCCTTTTCCACCACAAAGTCTGGGTTCCAGACTATAAACAGCTCCATCCTGCACGGCATCATTGATGTCAACAAGTGCTCCATTGCATTTCACAAAGAAGTATTCCACTGGAACAACCTAGAAACGAATTTGATTAAAAAAATTTTTTTTTCACAAACAAAAACATATAGTTCAGAACGAGGGGGGTGAAGCAGAAACCCAAAGCCCATCTGTAGACAAGTTAACAATCCCCACAGAGAGGGGCCACAGGGAAGAGATGAGTCAACCAGGGTGCAATAAAGCACCGATGAAACACAATATTCCTCTGGTTCCTTGAGGCTTCCTCATCCCCATTATCATGACATCGTGCTGCTTCTCAATTCAAACTAGACCGGAATACGTACACAGGTATAGAAGAGATGGGGACTCACTACACAGAGAATCCAGGAACAGGAGTGGGAATGGTGGTACCAGAAGGGTAGGGGAAAGAGGGGAGAGGAAGGAGGAAAAGGGGAGCCAATTGCAATGGTCGACACATAACCATATACCCCCCTCCAGGGGGAAGAACAACAGAAAACATGGCGGAAGGAGACAGCGGTCAGTGTTAAGATATTATAATTTATAATCTATCAAGGGGTTATGAGGGTGGGGCAGAGGGAGGGAAAAAAAAGAGGTGCTGATGTCAAGGGCTCAAGTAGAAAGCAAATGTTTTGAGAATAATGATGGCAACAAATGTACAAATGTGCTCAACACAATGGATGGATGAATGGATTGTGATAAGAGTTGTATGAGCCCCCCAATAAAATGATTTAAAAAAAAAAGAGGAGCTAATACCAAGGACTCAATAGAAAGTAAATGTCTAAAAATGAATGAAGGCAACATATGTACAAACATATGTACCTGTTGCAATCAATGTATGGATTGTAACAAGTGTAAGATTCCCCAATAAAATGATCTTTTAATAAAAAATTTTTTAAAGAGTTTTTTATGAGACAAAAACAAATTTCCGGTAGGATGGGACTTAGTTTATTTTTATTGTCACCACCAGCTATGAACAGATACCGTGTATTCAATTAATACTTGGTTGATTTGAAGATAAGAACTACTTAAAGGAAAGTCACCTCATATGCTATGTTCTGGGTGTCAGTCATCTAGTCAGGATGTATATAAAAACCTTCCGTCTCTGGGGTAGGAATCAAGGGAGAAAACTGCTCAGGGCTCAGATCTGGTTAACTGCAGGTCCCACTTTCTCTTTTTCAAACAGGCAGAATGAAGCCGAGTATCATGAGTGAGCTTCAAGTTTAAAACTAAGAAGACAGCGCTGCCAGGGACAGCGCTGGAGACATTGCGGGAATTGTGCTCAGGCTGACTAGCCCCCCCCCCCCCCCCCCCTTACTGGAGCAAAACGCGAAGGGAGTGCAACAGAGCAGCAAGGGGAGCAAAGCAATTAAGTCCCCTGAGAAATCCCAAAAACAGTTCGGAATCGGTGGACAGGGCGTGGCACTTCACCAGACCCAATTAGAAAACATTCATAAGGGTCAGCAGACAGATCTGGAACTATTTATAGGTCCCCCCCCCCTCCTTTTTTTCTTGTCTATCCATATAAGATAGGCAGGATAAACAATCCAGAGGAGAAAATAACGGGGTCAAAGGCTCTGGGGGGACATGGGAGAGGAGGAGGTGGGAGTAGCCAACACATTCAGGGACAAGAGAACAAGAGATCTAAAATCAATTTCGAGGAGGGCGTAGGATGCCTGGTGGGGTTTGATCAAGTGCAATGTAGCCGAGAGACAGTACTGAAAGCCGAATGAAGGTCAAACATGATAGTGGGACAGGAGTAAAGTAAAAAGAAATAGAGGAATGAATTAGGAAACAAAAGACATTTATAGAGGCGTAAATACAGGCACGTACACATGTAATTAATATATAGCAATAGGGATATAGGTCTATGTACATTTATTCTAACATTAAATATTAAGGCATTAGGTCTCTCAAGTACTCCCTCAATGCAAGAACATTTTGTTCTAATAACTTGGGATTCTGTAATGCTAACCTTTCCAACATGATCACTGAAGACAAAATGGGTGCATAAGCAAATGTGGTGAGGGAAGCAGATGGTGCCCAGCTATTACAAGATATAGCGTCCGGGGTCTTAAAGACTTGAAGTTAAACAAGCAGCCATCTAGCTGGGAAGCAACAAAACCCACATGGAAAAAGCACACCAGCCTGTGTGATCATGATGTATCAATGGCATCAGATATCAGGCATCAGAAGACCCCAAACAAGCAAATACATCTATGCAAACGGGGTTGGAAACCGAAACCCCATTTGTAGACAACTTGTAGACAACTGAATATCCCCTCACAGAAGGGTCACAAGGAAGGAACGAGTCAGCCAGAGTGCAGCATAGCACCGACAAAACAAACAACATTCCTCTAGCTCTTTACTGCTTCCTCCTCACCCCACTATCATGACCCCAGTTCTACCTTACAAATCTGGCTAGACCGAAACAGGACAGATAAACCCTTCAAGTACAGTAATGGGAGTAGTGACATCATGAGAGTAGGGGGAGGTGAGGGTAGAAGGGGGAGAAACAGGGAACTGACTGCAATGATTGCCGTATAACCACCCCCCCAAGGGGACAAACAACAGAAACATGGGCAAAGGGAGACAACAGGCGGTATAAGATATGAAAATAATAATAATTTATAATATATTGGGGGGGTTCACAAAGGGTGGGAGGGGAAGGGAGGGAAAGAAAAAAGAGGAGCTGATATCAAGGGCTCAAGTAGAAAGAAAATGTTTTGAAAATGATGATGGCAACATATGTACAAATATATTTGATACAACTGATGTATGGATTGTTATAAGAGCCCCCAATAAAATGATTTTAAAAAACCCTGATGATATAAATCTTGAAGAGGAGACAACAATGGGGGGAAAAGAGGAGACAATGGTAGAATTTTTAACACCCCAATATCAAACCAGACCCGTTGTCAACTAGCCAATTTCAATTCATAGCAACTCTATAAAAGCTTTAATATTTTCAGGACCATCTAGCAGCCAGCACCTGTCTTTTCTACTACCTTCCCCAAGCTTACAGCCAATCACTGCAGAAGCTATAGCACCCCAAAACCCACTCTGAATATATTTATCCAATGATAAAAAGAAAAAAAGTATGATTCTTTCTAAACAAGATCATGCTGTTGTGAAATAACACAACACAGGAGTATTCTTCAAAGTTATAGAGAACTCAGGAAGTACACAATTTAACCTACAATATCAAAATCAAAGAGAGAAGGAAAAATGTGTTACTGGTATCTTTTTGAAGCCAAAGTATGAAAAATAAGTCCTGAACTATACCACACAACTATTTGAAAGGGAATCATCTATTCATTTACTAGTATTACAAATACTAATTAGCACCAACTACCGTGCCAGGTTAAAGGAACACAACAGTTAAGCATTGAACGGCTAACCAGAAGACCATGGGTTCAAACTCACCAGCTGTTCCCTGGGAGAAAGACAAGGAGATCTGCTCCCTTGAAGATTTACTGTTTTAGAAACGTTACAGAACAATTCTGTTCTGCCCTCCAGGGTTGCTATGAGTCAGAATCCACTCGATAGCAGTAGTAGGGAGGCAGGTGCCAGATTTAGAGAGCCCTGGTGGTTCTTGGCTGCTCGCCAAAAGACCAGTGGTTTGAGCCCATCAACTATTCTGTAGAAGACAGATGTGGCAATGAGGATTCAAAAGGATTTACAGCCATGGAAACCCTAAGCAACAGTTCTACTGTGCCCCACAGCGTCTTTGAGTTGGAATCGACTCAAGGGCAACAGGTGTTTTTTCTTTTCTGATTAAGACTCTTGTCAATTAATAGTGACTACCCACCCAGTGCTATCAATTCCTACTCATAGTGATTTTCAGAGGCTGTAAATACTTATAGGAGCAGATAACCTAACCTCTCTCCTGCAGAGTAGCCGGTGGGTTTGAACTGCTGACACTGAGGTTAACTGTCCAACACTGCCCTGATGGTGCCACCAGGTCTCCTAAATGATTATCATCTATCTAACCATTCAATAACGACATAATAACTTAGTATCAAACCAAGCTCACTGACTGTCAATTCAATGCTGACTCATGGTGATTCCCTGTGGGTTTCCAAGACTGTTAACTGTTTATAGCAGTGGTTCTCAACCTGCGGATTGCGACCCCTTTGAGGGGTCGAACGACCCTTTCACAGTGGTTGCCCGATTCATAACAGTAGCAAAATTACAGTGATGAAATAGCAACAAAAATAATTTTATGGTTGGGGGTCACAACACGATGAACTGCATTAAAGGTTCATGGCATTAGGAAGGTTGAGAATCAACAGTTTACAGGAATAGAGAAAGTTCAGTCTTTCTCCCAAGAAGTGGTTTTGAACTGCCAACCATGAGGATCACAGCCCGAGGCCTAACCACTAAACCATCAGGGTTCCATTAATAATCATTATTAGGGGGGGGAAAAAGATCAATGAAAAGCAATTTAACTGCTTTAACCATTTGTGAATTATAAAGCACTTGAGACATGTCCCAGGCCAACTAACCCAAGACTGCAGACAGGCCATAGTCTAATCAAGTCAAATTTATTAGCTCACTATCGATTTGATGCGAACGCATAGCAATCCTATAGGACAGGGTAGAACTAGCCCTGTGAGTGAAGCAGACTAACTCTTTACAGTAGAAAGCCTCGTCTCTCTCCCTCAGAGCAGCTGGAGGTTTGAAACTGCTGACCTTGCTGTTAGTAGCTCAACTGGTAATCATTAAGCCATGAGGACCAATAAAGATAAATGTATTGGCACACTGCAACGAAGGAGTGCTCTATACCAGACGAATAACAAGGTGTCTCACCAACACAATAAAGTTACTGCAAGATAGGGGCAAGAATGAAGTCTGGGTAAAATGTAAACAAAGCAGTGTGTTAGGATCAACCAGAAGGCCATGTGTACAGGGGGCGCAATCAGGCCTAGACACTGTGAAGTGGATCCAGGCTTGTGTTGCCTTGGAAACTACCAAGTAGAATCGTTCTGTTCATCAGACACCCTCTTAAACTTGAAGCCCGGGCTAGAAATCATGAGTGCTTCCCTGAATCCAAGAGGTTTAGCTCCTCACAGCAAGAATGGGGAATTTCATTCTTAATGCAGTTATTTCAAACAGCAACATTTTTTATAGCCTAAGACCAAGGGTTCTCAGTGAGAAGGCAGTGTGATCTCAAGGTCCTTCTAACATTTCACCATCACACTATGTTCTTGGGAAAGCTCTGGCGGCAGAGGGGTTAAACAGCAGGCTGTAAATCACAAGGCTGGCAATTCAACCCACCAGCTGCTCTGAGAGAAAAAGATGAAGCTGTCTGTGCCTATAAAAACTTACAATCTCTTGCGATAACAGTTGTATGAGCCCCTAATAAAATGTTTTAAAAAAAACAACTTACAATCTCAATAATCCTACGGAGTTCTACTCTGTACTGGAGGGCCTCTAACGGAATCATTGGCAACGGATATTACCCTTGTGTCTACTGTATCATTCTACTGAACAGAGGGGGCAGAACTTTCCTTTGCAGTGGAAGCTCACTCTAATTTTATCACATAACAGTTCTGTTCTAAAAAGCAGAGTTGGGAACTTAACTATTTTAACTATTTTTCTTCACTCCAGTATCTCATCAAATGCCCTAGTGTTTTACATTTCTATTCATGTTCCTCAGGTGCCTAACTAAATCCACTCATTTACCTATGTATTCATTTTACAAATCTTATAACCAACATTTCTCAAAATTAAGAGCCTCACTCTGGATCAACTGTCAGGTTTGAAAAATGCCCTTCTAAGAGTTATTTCCAGAGATATTAAAGTCTGACTTTCTTGGAAAATATTTCCCCATTCAAATGGCCAAACAGGTTCTGCTAACAGTCTGTAGACAGGATTGCAGTGTAGGAAGAAAAATGAGAAAGCATTCTTCACCTAAGCAATCCAAGTCCTACAAAAGGTTGGTTAGGTTGTACTAGTAATAACATTTGATAAGTTTATAAATAACTAAGGAAATAGCCTCTAAGCAACAAAGAGGTGTGGTTATAAAGAAACAGGAGTATACTCAAGCACCAAATTTAGAGTTAAAGATATGATCAAAATGGTAAAAATCAAAACAAAACCAAAAAGAAACTTGTTTGGTTTTGAGAATCCTGTAAGACCGACCACACGGGTAACTCTGTAAGTTCTTGGTAAGTTTTTACATTTTGAATTTTTCAAACCTACTGATCCAGAGTGAGGCCAAAATGACATGTTCTTCATTACGAGAAATGTTGATAGTAAAGAAATGTGCATGGCCAAATGAAATCAAATGATTGGTGACAACATCGAAATGTCGGCCCGAAGAATTCATGCCCTGAACATATGTGTGAGTCCTTGGCCTCGAGATCAGTGACCACAAGATTTCGTTTCCTGCTCCGACCATCCGTTAGCTTGGACCTGGCTAGAGTACTTCCCTAGGTTGACGCTAACAGCTGTGTGGCTAGTCGGCAAAATGCAAGCGACAGAATCATGGTATGAAAGTAAAGACATGAACCTTAAAGGTCCTTTCTCCAACTGCGTCACTGCGATGAAGGAACGGACCCAAACGGACTTGTCTGAGGGCTGGGTCTGGTCTGCCTCTGTGAGTGGAATTTTCTCTCCTTTTGTAAGGGGGCAAAACCACCACTACCACAAAGCAAAGGAAGGCCCCAGTATCCATCAGGTCGAACCATGTCAAACGAGTGAATCCTCAAACACTGAAAACCCCCACGGAGAGATGAGCGGGCTCCCCGGCGGGCCCGCTCTCCACACCCAGGCCTGCCTCTCCTCAGCCTCTTTCCCCATCCTCACTTGATCTTGGAAGTAACGGTGAAGGAAATTCCAGATGGAGCCCCGAGCCGAGCCACATCGCACTGCCTTGCACCCGGAGCCTGGCCCGCGAATCCACACGAGCGCCGTAGCCTCCGCCATTTCCTCCGGCCTCAGAGCCTGGAGAAGCCCTGAAACCGGGCGCCACGACCAGGATGGCGCGTTTTCCTGACGTCACCGCGTCTCCCAGAGTCCCTCCCCTTACGTCTCAGTCGTGTTCCGTCCCTCCCTCTGGGGCCAGTCACGTGAGTCGGGCGCCGAGCTCGCTGATGGGGGGGCGGGGGGGGGCGGGGAAGGAAACGCCTGGCGGAGGCCGATAAGACTGCCGGGCCCGAGGGCGAGGCGTTGCTAGGAGACGTTGCTAGGGCGGGGCTCGGGGGACCCACTGTAAGAGGCTGGCCCGAGCCGGGCCCGGAGCGTCCGGGCTGTGAGTGATAACACCGTAACTAAGCACCGCCCAGGGCCGCCAGCTTTGGCCCTTGTTCTTCCGGCTGTGTAGCTATTTTGGGGTAGTGAGACTTGTGGCCTCAGACGCTCTTCCCCCTGGGGTGAGAGGGGAGAAGCTGCAGGCCCTGACGCGATTTGGGGGGGGTGAGGGGGGGGGCGGGGAGCCTCTCCACCTCCCGGTGCTCCTCAGGCCAGGGCGCTGACCTCGGGAAGTCCTCTAACTGCCACCCCCTTGTGTCGTTCTTCCCGCCCCGAGGTTTACTTAGCTTTCTTCTCCAGACACAGCTAACCTCAGGGACTCTGTCTGCGACGCTCCGTTTTTATTCCTATTTCCGCCTGTTTGCTCCTCTGTTATTTCCACTTAAGGTTTTCGGAATATTTCACAGCAAGTAGCCCCTGGTGAGCGGCAGTGGTAGGAGTGACGTTTGTAGTTAGGCTGCTTCGAAAAACCCGACCGTAACTTTTCCTCCGCACGCATACAGATCTTCATCATAGAATTTTAAGGCACAAGAAATCGGAAAGAGTCCCTTAATATTTAATATACCGAGATGAGATGATATTTCTAGTCTTGAGCCATGTACAAGAATTACTACTGTGAATTTGGTTTTGGAGAATGTGACCATGAGGGGCCCTGATGGCGGAGCGGGCTGTGCAGGGAGGGCAGGTGTTGAAAAGCACGGGGCAGGTGGGGGGGGGGCACGAAGACGAAGATGAGGCTTTCTGCCCCACCCCCCAAAGATGTAAAGTCTCAGTTTCTCAAAGGGGCCGTTCTCTTCTGCCTTGAGGGTCACTGTGAGTCCGAATGGACTCAATTTGCTTTTCGCCGTGCACGGTGAAGATCGGCAGGGTTGATGGGCTAATAGCTATCCGTGCCAACTAAATGTCAGTCCACAGAATCGCATTCCATGTTGTTAGAGTGTTTGTCAATTGGAAGTAATTGCTGAGGTGAATACAACCACAGCCACAAACATCGGAGACTGTCTAACAGCCTCGGGTAAGAACAAAACTCGAATTTGAAGCAAGTGAACTAACAGATGCTCAGTACTGCCCTCTTCACTTGCACCCGAGGGAGTGTGAGAAAGGGCCTTCGTGGGGATTCCAGGAGATAAGAAATGGTACAGAGAAAATAAGAAAGATGTATTTAGAGAGCGTGTTTCCCAATTGGGGGCACTGAGGAGGGTATCTCATCAGATAATAGGCACTAGGCAGCCCAAGATCCAGAACCTATAAACTGCTCCCACCTCTCCATCCTCAGGGTTCCTGAGCACTCAACCAACAGAGAGCTTAGTCCTAAGCCTCTTCTCCTTTGTTTATTGTTGTTTGCCCTTTCTAAGGTTTAAATTAAAAAAGGGAGGGGGTGGATTTCAAGAATCTGAAAGTCTTCCTCCTAAACCCCATGCTATGGAATCAATTCTGACTCATAGTCACTCTGGATAGAATTTCCAAGAGCAGATAGTCTATGGGCTTGAACCACTGACCTGTTGGACTGCTAATCACCAGTCTGGCAGTTCAAACTCACCACCCACCCTGAGGGAGGGAAATGAGGCTTTCTCTGCCCATAAGCATAGACAGCCTAAGAAACTATATAGGATCACTATGAGTCAGAATGAACTCAGTGACTGTGGGTTTGGTTTTCTGGTTCGATTTAACAAGGGAAGAACACATTGGTACGAAAGACATTAGATCTAGTCCTCTCCAAACCTCAAGTCAAGTCTAAGTGGAATTGTTCATTTTTTCCCCTTTAATGGCATTGGAATTTTTATTTAATCTCTAGTACTGAATAATAATTTGTCATTTAAAATATAAAATAAGTTATTAAAAAATAAAGCATTGTGAACTCTTTTTTCCAATCATTTTATTGGGGGCTCATACAATTCTTATCACAATCTTACATCCATCCATTGTGTCAAGCACATTTGTTGCCATCATCATTCTCAAAACATTTGCTTTCTACTTGAGCCCTTGATATCAGCTCCTCATTTTTCCCCCGCCCCACCACCCCCTCCCTCATGAACCCTTGATAATTTATAAATTATTATTTTGTCACTGTCCAATGTCTTTTCTGTTGTCCATCCTCCCAGGGAGGGGGTTCTATGTAGATCCTTGTAATTGGTTCCCCCTTTCCACCCCACCTTCCCTCTACCCTCCAGGTATCGCCACTGTTACCACTGGTCTTGAAGGGATCATCTGTTCTGGATTCCCTGTGTTTCCAGTTCCTATCTGTACCAATGTACACCCTCTGGTCTAGCCAGATTTGTAAGGTAGAATTGGGATCATGATAGTGGGGGGAGGAAGCATTAAAGAACTAGAGGAAAGTTGTATGTTTCATCATTGATACCCTGCGCTCTGACTGGCTCGTCTCCTCCCCACGACCCTTCTGTAAGGGAGTGTCCAGTTGCCTACAGATGGGCTTGGGGTCTCCACTCATTGGGTAACCCTCATTTACAATGATACGAATTTTTGTTCTTTGATGCCTTATACCTGATCCCTTCCACACCTCATGGTCACAGAGGCTGGTGTGCTTCTTCCATGTGGGCTTTGTTGCTTCTGAGCTAGATGGCCACTTGTTTTTCTTCAAGCCTTTAAGACCCCAGACACTATATCTTTTGATAGCCAGGCACCATCAGCTTTCTTCACCACATTTGCTTATGCACACGTTTGTCTTCAGCAATCATGTCAGGAAGGTGGGCATCATGGAATGCTAATTTAATAGAACAAAGTGTTCTTGCATTGAGGAAGTACTTGAGTGGAGGTCCAATGTCCATCTGCTGCCTTAATACTAAACCTATAAATATATGCATGTAGATCTATTTCCCCGCCATCCTATATAAATATATTTACATATGTATATGCCTTTATTTAGACCTTTATAAATGTCCTCTGCCTCCTAGTTCTTTCCTCTATTTCCTTTTACTTTACTCTTGTCCCACTATCATGCTCAGCCTTCATTTGAGTTTCAGTAATTTCTCTTGGTTACATTGCCCTTGCTAAATCCCTACCAGGCCTCTCACACCCTCCTTGCCACTAATTTTGGATCACTTGTTGCTCCCTTGTCCCTGGGTTAGTCAACACCACCTCCTTTCCCCCCGCCTCCCCCTCTCCCATGATCCCCCAGAAGCATCGGTCCCCTTGTTTTCTCCTTGACTGTTCATCCAGCCTATCTTATCTAAATAGATCTGCAGAGATAATAAAATGCACTAAAAAACAAGGCATAGCAAGACAAAGCGACAAAAGAGAACACAGTGAACTTTTTAGAAGATGCACATTTCCATGAGTAATGTATAATCTCTGTTTAAATCTACACAATGACTACCCAGAACCATGACATACTCAGAACAGAGGTTAAATATTAATTGACTATTACAAAAGTAGTAGGGCAAGTTTTTTATTTCCAACTTGTGCCTCCAAAAAAAAAAAAAAACATTTTGCACCAATACAATAGTTTTGATTCTGAGGCCATATAATTCAACTTGGATTAATGACTCTCAAATTTTTAGAGCTGTGGCTTAGATCTGTCAATGAATAAGAACACATGCCCACTTAATATAAAAACAAAGGGATTTCATGAAGGTTTTAAAACAGTTCAAAACCAGGACACCTCTGATCTCAGAAAGGGAAGTCAAAAGCTCCAAAACGGTGGAGTAACAGAGGCATATTTATGAGGTAAAATAAAGAACTAATGGTACAACATTCTAAGCAGAAATTGTAAGATCAAGAAAGTCAGAGGTAAAAAAGTTCATATATGAGCCTAGATGGGAATTGACAGAGTGACAAAAATCAAGCATCTCAGTTTTGGAACTATCTCACATTCTCTCTTTTTGATCAAGGATTTTTTAAAACATTTTTTGATAACCATTATGTAAATGCTTTCTTCTAAAGGGCCTCCTGGTAATGATGACATGATTCTTTAACTGGCTGCTTACTAAAGCTTTTAAGGCCCCTGACACTAATATTTTGTAGTCCAGGAGAAGTTGCTAAAACAACTCAAGCACACCATCCAACCTCCTCACATCCCTTTAGCATTCAGCAGCTGTAATTTGGGGGTGGGTGGGAGTGGGGGGAAGGGTGTCTGCATGGAGTAGCCACAGAGGCATAGTTTGCCTTCAAAAGACTGTCTCAGAGGATGCACTTCGGTACATTTGGGAATGGGACCAATCTATGTACATGATTATCTTCATAGAATTTAAATTAGTCTTTTGTGTCATAACACTGGTTTTAATTTCATGAAATAATTTGATTATTTCAATAATTATTACTGCAACAATATCTCGTTAACAATACAGTTTGACTGCAGTTAGCAATACAGATCTTTAGCTAACCAGCTGGAAATACTATGCCAAGAGAATTCAGATTCTGCCTCTTCTGTAAGTAACCAGAGAGCTTTCTGGCAAGTATTTTGGTATGTTTTTCAACCTCATAAACAATAACAACAACAAACAACACACAAAAACTTACTGTCAGCAAGTCAAATCTGACTCATAGTGACTAGAGAGAGTGGAACTGCCCCTGTTGGTTTCTGAAGCTGTAAAACTTGCCAGGAACAGAAAGCCTCCTTCATCTTGCTCCCGGGGAGCAGCTAGTGAGTTCAAACTGCTGACCTTGTGGCTAGTAACCCACTACACCACCAGGACTCCTTTCAGCGTCCTGGGTATAGTTAACTCAGTTGCAGCAAGAAGTGTTTGCACAAATCCTTCCT